GGCTTTGATGGATGCAACCAGGTTGCGCCACCCCCACCAGCACCGCCAGCCTCACAGCCACGAGGCTTTCCTTTCACCGGGACAGACCCCCCCACGGAGGATAGCAAGACCGGCGGCAACATGGCAGTGCTGGCAATCTCTCCCCCTCCCATCACCCCTTCCTGAGCGTGGAGGAAGGAAAGAGATGGGAAGGAGAGAAGGAAGAAAGTGTAGCAGAGAGGAGAGTTGGGGGGGATCGACGCTGGCTTGGATCGGCGCTGGCTGGGAAGCTTTGCCAGAGCTCTGTGGATTCGGTAGAGAGGTCAGAAGCTCAGGCGGCCTCTGCGGTGGCTGGCGGCACGGCGGGGCTCTTGGGGAGGGATTTTTAAAGGGGAAGAGGAGATTGAATGGGGGAAGAAGATTTTGTTTTCTCTTTTCCAGAGAGACAACCCAAGAGGAGGGAGAGTGAGGTAGGAAGTTGGCGAAAAGGCTTTTTATTCTCTCTCCAGAGAATAAATTTCCTACCTCGCTCTTCCTCCTCTTGGGTTGCCTCTCCGGAAAAGAGAAAATAAAATCTTCTTCCCCCAGTCAATCTCCTCTTCCCCCTCCAGCAAAGCCTCCCAGCCAGCACCGATCCCAGCCAGTGCCGATCCCCCTCAACTCTCCTCTCCGCTACACTTCCTTCCTTCCTTCTCTCCTTCTCATCTCTTTCCTTCCTCCACGCTCAGGAAGGGGTGATGGGAGGGGGAGAGATTGCCAGCGCTGCCATGTTGCTGCCGGTCTTGCTATCCCCCGTGGGGGGGGTCTGTCCTGGTGAAAGGAAAGCCTCGTGGCTGCAGGGCTGGCGGTGTTGGTGGGAGGGGGGGCTGCGCAGATCTACAACCTGGTTGCATCCATCAAAGCCAGAATGCACTCAGCCTTAAATCCATGGGGCAGCCCCACCCTGCCCCCTGGTGTGCGTGCAAGTGGAGTCCGGTGTCCCTACTGGCTGTCTTGCCCTGCAGGCTGACTTCACCCAGGATGCCGGCACTGGCCGTCTCCTGTGTGCACACTCGGGGGGCAGGACAGGCGGCGGGGCAGCTCTTTGCTGGTTCCAGTGGATCTTAGGCTGTGTGTGTTCTGGCTTTGATGTACGCAACCAGGTTGTAGGTCAGCGCCACCCACCCCCCCACACACACCAGCACTTCCAGCCTCGCAGCCACAAGGCATCCCTTTCAACGGGACCGCCCCCGCCCGCCCACATGGTATAGGAATGGCTGGCAGCAGCATGTTAGTGCTGGCAATCTCTCCCCCTCCCATCACCCCTTCCTGAGCGTGGGGGAAGGAAAGAGATGAGAAGGCGAAGGAAGGAACGGAGGGAGGGAGGAAGGAAGGAATGGAGCAACGGAGGGTGGGAGGAACAGAGGGAGGAACGGAGGGAAAAAGGGAGGGAGGAAGGAACGGAGGGATGAACGGAGAGTGGGAGGGAGGAAGAAAGGAACAGTGGAAGGAAGGGAGGGTGGGAAGGAGGGAGGAAGGGAGGGAGGGAAAAGGGAGGGAGGAAGGGAGGAACAGGAAGAAAGGAACGGAGGGTGGGAGGGAAGAAGGAAGGAAGGAAGGAAGGAAGGAAGGAAGAGGAAGGAAGGAACGGAGGATGGGAGGGAAGAAGGAAGGAAGGGAGGAAGGAAAGAACAGAGGGAGGAAGGAACAGAGGTGGGAGGGAGGAAGGAACAGAGGAAGGTGGGAGGGACCATGTCCCGGTGCTCGCCCCGGTCCCACCCTCCTCCGCTGGAGACCCTCAGATCTGCCCCAGTCCTGCCCAGGTACCCCTGAAGTCAAGATGGCCATGCCCACCCAGTAGGCCACGCCCACCCCAGCCACACCAACCCAGTAGGCCATGCCCATCCTGGCCACACCCGCCCAGTCCAAGGGCAACCACAATGCTGATGCGGCCCTCAATGAAATTGAGTTTGACACCCCTGGCTTAAAGGATTGGAGATGATGATCACGGCACCGTTTTTCCATTTCCGCATACCAAACAAAGCTGACCAATTACCAGATTTCAAAGAGGCATCGGCTGCATCCAATTGAAATTGCAGGAAATTGAGTTTGTCCCGATCAAAAGTTCCAGGTAGAGGAAACTGGCGTTTGTGGTCTTGGGCAGTGAGAACATGCCATTCTGACAAGAACTGACAAAATCTAGGCCCTTTATGGGCATGAATATACCACGCTGGTGTGCCTTTTTCAGGAGCTTCCATATGTTTGGAAGAGGAAGTTCCCATTGCAGCAACAAATAGGCAATGTCTGTCTAAAGCTGGTGAATCTAAACAAGGGAAAAATAGCAACTATGAAGGAGAAAAAAATAAAGCCAAACACATAAGCAAGAAGCAAGCTAAATATGTAAAATCTGTATCCAGTTCATTCATTTCATACGTTCAAAATATAGTTGTGTTTTTTCCCCCCCTTCACGCACTTCTATTTCTGGCCGTTTTCCTTGTGGAAGAATGGAACCGCAAAGCTGGGCTGCAACACTCGCTTCGGATCATGAGACCCATCTCAGTCAGTCACCAGTCACACACCATTTGCGCCCTATTGGCCACACATACGAACAAACAAAACTGGATCTCATAATATCTTTGTGTTTCTAATCGCTTGCCGATTTAGGGGCAGGTTTGATTCATGTTTTTCATTTCTTTTCTCTCTTTTTTTTGCATCTCTGTTTGTTCTTCTCCACTAGACGGCCCAGGGAACCAACCGTTATGGGCAATAGAAGGCAATTGAACCCTGCCAACACAGACAGTCCTTATGTATGGAAAAGGTCCATACCTTCTGGGGAGAAAAGGGAACAATAGACATGCTACCTTGGCAAGAAAGCCAACCCTTATCTAAAGGAAAGGTAGCAGGCACAGGAAAATGTACGCTCCCTCCCAGCAAACAAGCTGACTGTAAGGACCCACCCCACTTTGCATCTTAAGAAGACAGAACTCTTGGAATATTTCTTCCAACATGCATCTTTATTAAGAGAGAGCTGGTTGTAGGCATTCTAGACAGGACTTGGGGTCCAAGCTCTCCAATTCAAGGTTCTAAGGGATCCCCCAGTAGCCCCACCCCATCACCCCCTTCTTCCAGCACAGTTCCAGGCATTACATTCCCACCCCCTTTTCCTCACTGCCGGGAGGAGAGACTTCAGAAAGGATTACATGAAAGGTAATGGCCCCAATTGTTATTGTTAGTCCTTTTGGTGATATCCACATCCAGCCCCTTTGAAGTATACTGAAGGAAGTGAGGGCCATAAAGCCCCTTTGTTCACCCCCTTCCCTTCATCATATGACAGAATCCAGAGAAGGCAGAAATGGGGTTTTCCATAGTTGATAACTAGAGATGAAATATAATTGGATTCTGACATCCTGCCCCCTTAAAATAAGATAGATCCACCTGAAAGAAAACAAAACAGGTATAAAAGTTAGTCAGGTTTGTTAGGATACTCTGTGTGAAACTTCTTTAATAGCTTCTGGGCTCTGATGTGACGTTTATGGACCCACTCGTTTTGTGAGGCAGGGAGGTGTTTCCAGGCAACTAGGTACTGAGTTGCTCCATGATATCTCCTAGAGTCAAGGATTTCCTTTATTTCGAAGTGTTGTTCGCCCTCCACCATGATTGGAGGTGGTGGTGGTGGGATTTTTGGCCGTAACGATGATTGATGCTCTCTTTTCAGCAAGCTGCAATAGGATTGTGAGTGGTGGTATGGAATACTGTACACGTATGAGTGATTTCATGATAAATGAAGCATTTCTGGATTGTCCATGCAGCCTTTCAGACCAATACAAACTGATTTGAAGGCCAATGAAGTGTAGTTGGTATTTGGATTAGCGTGTTAGTAAACTAGTTAAGGATATAATGAATAGTCTGACAGTTGAAATGAGGCATAGCTGGCTTAAGAACCTTAGGAGAATACTTGTCTAAGGTTGTCTTCAGACTGGAATAGCATATCACAGAATTCACTCTTAAGCATTATATGAGGAGCTGGAAGAAATGCTGCTTAGACGTGCAAATGACCTAAATTTGGATGGGATAGCTATATTTAGAAAGATCTTGATAAATTAGAAAAAAAGGGCTGAGTATAACAGAATTTTACTTAGGAAACAGAAATAAAATGCATAGGCATGGTAGGAGTGGGGGAATTGGCTTGGCAAGAGAATTAATGATGTTCTTGGAATAGTTGTTGATTGCAAACTTGATTATGAGTCAACAGTATAAAATGGCTGCAAAGAGACAAATGCAATTTTAGGTTGTATTAAGTATGGATAATATCCTTAATTTTAAAGTGTAGCTTCCAAATCACAGAATTAATACTTCCACATTATTCTGCATTGGTGGAACACCCTTTTGAGTATTTTGTCCAGTCCTAGCAAATCACAGGATTCAGTCAAACTGAAACATGTTCAGGAAAGGGCAGGAAAAATGATGGAAGAACTAGAAAGAATGAAAAGACATTGACAAATGTGGGAATGGTTTGGTTGAGAAGAGAAGAATGGGACTTGTGATATAATGAACATCCAGTTCTGTTCTCTATCATCCCAGAGGGCAGGACATTGAATAAAGAAGTTGTTATGGGAAGGAAAATTCCAGTTGAGTATTAGGAAAATGTCCCTATCAGTAAGAACAGTTTGACAGTGGGAGCAGTTACCCAGAAAGGGTTGTGCTGCCATACACAGAGTCTGAACAGCTATGTGTTTTGAGTGTGTTAATTTAGATTCATGCAAGGAGCTGATTTAGGACTTGGTGACCTAAATGGTTCCCCCCAGTTCTGATTCTATGTTTGAAAAGGTGCTAGGATAATATCTGAAAAAATAATATATGAAAACCAGCATGGTTTGGATTCTAGCAATGGTTTGTCTGAGGAGCTTGAGTCTACCCAAAGATATGCAGTGAACAGCCTAAGGGAAGGAGCTCTTGAATCTTCTCTCCTCCTGCAATATCAAAAGCCTGTTCTTAGCAGTGAAAATCTTAGGTTTGTTCCTTATATTCCCTTTGTTCTTCAGTGGCTTAAGCCCAACAGATGACAATGTGTATAAAAAGAAGAAAAAGAAACAGAAACAGAAGAAAGAAAAGGGGGAGCAATTTGATCTGGTCCAAGATCAATCCGCAAAGGTAAAAACACTTTTTCAATAGGTTAGTATATTGAGCTCCTCCAAACTGCCATACACAAGTATGTGCATAGTGGAGCTTAATGCCTGTTGCATTTTATTTTGGGGTATATGCATAACTAGAAGTGCTAAGAATCCAAACTGAAGCTGCTTGCTTCTTTTGGTTGGAGTGATCTTTTATCTGTCTTGTCATGGCCTGTCAACAGTGACATACGTTCTTGGGAGAGTGTGTGATTGAATATGCTGCATTTTTTGCTCATGCTCAGCACAGGTAGATGTGAAAAAGGAGATCATACACATTTTATGTAATCTTTAAAGAAGAAGCAGGATATCTCTCCCCCTCCCCCCCAAAAAAATAAATTTTTAAATTTCCTTAAAAGAGGAAAGGACAAATAATCAAGGTTGATGAGTCTATTAATTTTTCCTCATTTGGTTCTTATGGAGGTGAATTCATTGCCAGCAGAAAGGATGCAGGAGATTCAAAAAGCCATTGAGCTCTTCTCTGTAGGACAAGGGCCTGCCAAGACCATGGAAGAAGCCACCAAACGCAGCTATCAGTTCTGGGATACACAGCCAGTGCCCAAGTTAGGTATGTATGAAAAGAGAGTCTTTTTCTTTTTCTCTTTTTTCTGTTTTAAAAATGAAGCACATGTAAACTGTACAGGTAGTCCTCAACTTATGACTGGTTGCTTAATGACTGTTCAAAATTACAAAATTACAGTGGGCCTGAAACGGCCCATAAAGCACTTCTGGCCATCGTAAAATGTGCCACGCACATACTCTTCCCCGGTCACATGACTGCATTTCAGGTGCTTGGCAACTGGCTTGCCTTTACAATCAGTTGCAGCGTCCTGCAGTCACGTGACCACAATTTGCAACATTTTTTGCCAGTTTCCTGCATTTTTTGTTGGTTTTTGTCAAAAAATGTCCATTCAGAAGAATGGGTTTGCACTAACGACCATGGTGTTCGCTTAAAAACTGCAGCATTTCATTTAATGACCACCACAAAAATGTTGTAAAACACGGGTGCCTTGACTTACATCTGTTAACAACTTGCAGTCATAAGTCAAGGACTTCTGTACATCTCATGCCTTTCATTGCTACCAGGGCACTGTCTACATTGAGAGACAGGAGAGGAATCAAATTAGATGACAATATGCAGAACTGTCTGGTATTTTTATAGTTAAATCAGGCAACAGTGAAAGGGGAGGAGAATAAGGAAAGCCCGGGAAAAAGAAACCGGAAGTGAATCACATCTTCCAAGTTAATTGGAAGATGTGAACCATGACCCCAAAATAGGGGACGGAAAAATGCCTGGAATGTATGTACAACAGAAAAGAATCTCAGATCTAAGCATTCCACCATGCCGTACTGATATCTCTGTAACCTTAATAAATGCTTTTAGGATAAAAAAATGCCTGAAAGTCCTTTTAAGTGTTTCGTTAATCAGACACATGACAGGATACTGATCCAAGACCAGAAACTGATTAGAAGTAGTGGGGACAAGGCTGTCTGTTTTAGCAATTTTTAGATCGGAGTTGCTAGGAATGTTTCTGGGCAGTGAATTATGGAGGCAGCTTGCTCTCATGTTGCTTTCCCTTCTCTCAGGTGAGGTAGTAAACATTCATGGACCTGTTGAACCAGACAAGGACAACATCCGTCAGGAGCCCTATACCTTGCCTCAGGGCTTTATGTGGGATGCCCTGGACTTGGGGGATCGAGGTGTGGTGAGTATGGATGAGTCAGAACTAACCATCCTGAAAGTTGAACTTTCAAGCACTTTATTAATGATCCTATACAGGTAATCCTCAATTTATGACCACAATTGAGCCCAAAATTTCTGTTGCTAAGCGAGACAGTTAAGTGAATTCTGCCTCATTTTACAATCTTTCTTGCCACAGTTGTTAAGTGATTCACTGCAGTTGTTAAGTTGGTAACATAGTTGTTAAGTGAATCTGGCTTCCCTATTGACTTTGCTTGTCAGAAGGTTGCAAAAGGTGACCACATGACCCCGGGACACTGCAACTGTCATAAATATGAGTCAGTTGCCAAGCATCTGAACTTTGATCATGTGACCGTGGGGATGCAACCATCATAAGTGTGAAAAACGGTCATAAGTCACTTTTTTCTTGACCATCAAACATCCACATCTGCCTATCCCAGGTCCTTGGGAAGGACTGGATAGGTAGACAAAAATGCCAAATCCAGTCTGAACATCTGGCTGACTGTGCGATGATCAATCCCCTTGAGGATTCTCCTCCATGGAATCCTTCCCAAGCTCTCTTTAAGTTTATTGAAATTAGCTTTCTTAAAGTCCAAGACTCTAGTTTGACTGTGTTCTATTGCTTGTGTTTGCATAATGTTGAATTCTAATATTGCATGATCACTCCCCCCCCCCAAGGTTCCTGTGTCTTCAACACCTTCTATCATTTCATTTATGTTAGTGAGAATTAAGTCCAATATGACTGATCCCCTAGTTCCCTTCTCTACTTTTTGGGAGACAAAATTGTCTGCTAGGTTTGTCAGGAATCTGTTTGATCTTCCACTCGGTGCAGAGTTTGTCTCCCAGTTGATGTCAGAGTAATTAAAGTCCCTCATTACCATTGTGATCTGCTTCCTATATACCTTGGTTAATTGACTAGCAAAAAGTTCACCTATTTCCTCTGTTTGGTTGGGTGGCCTATAGTATACACCTAAGGCATTGTCATTTTTTCCCCTTTTATATTGACCCAAATGCATTCAAGTGTTTAGCTTGACTTGCTTGCTTGAATCTGCTGTCTATCTCTGCCCTTCTCTTCATATTGTACTCATTTGGGGCACAGTTTAACTCAGAATCTCATGTGTTGAGAATGTGAAATATCTCCTTACCCTTACAGCCAATATTGATTAATCTCTTTATAGTTTTAAAACAGGTCCTTTTACGGCTGACTTAAAACTTTATTCAAAAACTGTGCTGTAAATCCTTAGGTTTTATTGCTTCACTATTAGGAAACAAAACAGAAAATAATGATTTGCTAAAAACCCATTGACAGAAGCAAAATTGTACTTTCCCATAACCATATTTAACCCCACCTTAGTGTGTGGGCTGTTTTCCCCACAGTGAAGCTCTAATAATCAAGCAGGTGCCCTGTTGGAAGTTGCTATTCTCTTAATAGAGAAAGCTTTGCTTCCTTAAGCAGATCATGCTTCTCCTTTTTGCTTTCTTTAGCTGAAGGAACTGTATACTCTCCTGAATGAAAACTATGTGGAAGACGATGACAACATGTTTAGGTTTGATTATTCCCCTGAATTTCTCCTATGGTGAGTTACAGTTTTTCCTGAATATCTCAAAAGTGTCTGTCCATTTTTCTTTCTTCTTGTCCAGAAGCCCAATAAAGATAATCTACTTCCTTTCAACAAATACAACACATAGGTTTTCTTCAAGTGCTGAGGAGTGGTTTTATTGTGTCCATCTTGGCAAGTTTATATTGCTGCTACCTACTCCTTAACATCCTTTTTGTCAAAAGACTGAATGCCCCTTTTGTAGGAGATAGGATGATCTTTCTTACCTGCATTAGGCAAGCCTCTTTTTACCTTCCTGAATAGGTAGCATATAAGAGAGAATTCTGTACTTAGATTCACAGGCTGCAATGCTACTTCTAGCCAAGTAATTTAGTTCAATGTGCTACACATGCATAATTTGGAAGGAAAACATTGGAAAAATAAGGAACAAACAATTCATAATATTTCAAATAAAGATCTGAAAACCATGATGGGATCCTGCTTTGGGGTTTGTTCTGGATCATAGATCCATTTATCTTGTATAACTCTATGTTTACCATAACTCTATGTATCTTGTATAACTCTATGTATACCTATGTAACAGGGCAAGGGGAGGGAGCAAGGGTCAGGGGGCGGAGCTTCAAAGGCATCCCTGGACGCTAGACTGAGGGCAGTCCTTTTTGTTCTCTGACCACCACATGCAGCCTCGGCTGCAGACTTCATGATCACCCCACCATGTGACGCTTGGGAGAAGAGGGGAAAATCTAATATCAATTTACCTGTGGAACAACCAGATTGCCACCACCTATTCCTGGAAGTACCTTCTCAAACTGTAAGTTTGCCTAGGATCCCCAGAATAAAGCAATTATCTCGTGTTTGTTCTTCTGAGTTATCTATCTGTTAAAGACTGGATAAAGGCATGTATCCTATCTAAAAACAGAATAGTAAATTGATATTTTTTAATTTTCCTCTGATCTCCAAACTGCAAACTAAGTAAAGAAAAGTCTCCCTTGCATGTGAAAGTAACTCTATGTTTCAAACTGACTGACTGCAAAAGAAATGTCTGCAAAGTAAATTGTTAGATTAATTCTCCTCTGAGCTCCTGCAATAGTGAATTGATGAGATTAAGTTTCCTCTGCAAACTACTTTAAAGAAGCAAGCAAACTTCTCTTGCATGTGAAAGTAACTAGAAGTGACTGAAGGTGTGTTCTAAATGCATTGTATTGCTGATTTGCTGTCATCTCTGCAAGCCAAGTTTTAAAACAACAAAACTCTTGCCTGCGAAGGCCGCATTCCTAAAATCAAAAGAGTGTGGGCAGATTCCCCTCCCCTTGCCACTTCAAAGCTTGGGACGTGAGAGGAGTGTTTCTTAAGACTGCCTGCAGAGCTGTTTATGTTTACAATAGAACTGTTTGGGACTGCCAAGCGACTTTAAAACTAAAGGTTTAAATCAACAAGCAAGCACCGATCGCTTCTTCTTCAAAAAGGGGCCCCTTCCCGTCCCTTTGTTCACTGACCTTAGCAACCATCGTCAAGGAAGAGGGCAATTAAACCATTAAGCTGCTCTCTCTCACTCCCCCCCCCAAGGAATGCCTGGAATTTCAACCGGTGTTAAGGGAATCTTGGAGGCAAGAGCAGAACCAGCCCCAATAGCAGGACAGAAGCACCCCCTAGTGGCCTATCTGCACATGACACCTTGAAAAAAATTTTTTTTGTCTCCTATTTTCACATCACAACAATTTGATAATTTAATTCAAATCAACCCCCACTAGAGTTTTCACCCAATCAGGCTGGAGACCCAAGTTTCTTCCAGTTTTGAGTGTCACAGAAGAAGGCCACATAGCCATCAATCCTTGCCTATTCTCACAAGCTGAATACCCCAGTGTGTTCCAGCCTGCAACTTAACGACCAGGTGAGAGTTCATGCCTCTCAGTGGCCTTTGTAGGTACGTGGTAATAGGAAGAATTTGGCGGACCTCTCTTCAGACGCCCCCTAGTGGTTAAAGGAGGAGCTGCACGCGAGCCTTTAATCACGCCCAGAGAAAGCCCTCTAGTGGACAAAGGGTGTACCTCGAAAGAAGAGCACCCCTGAAGCTGATACGCAGATAGTGACCCCTAGTGGTCAAAAGTGAAGTTCATCCAATTTCCTTCAAATTAGCTAGGAACCACAGGACAACGCTCCCAGTGGCTCCTCCACACGCAGATAGCGACCCCTAGTGGTCAAAAAGTGAAGTTCATCCAATTTCCTTCAAATTAGCTAGGAACCACAGGACAACGCTCCCAGTGGCTCCTCCAGCTGCAGATAGTGACCCCTAGTGGTCAAAAAGTGAAGTTCATCCAATTTCCTTCAAATTAGCTAGGAACCACAGGACAACGCTCCCAGTGGCTCCTCCACACGCAGATAGCGACCCCTAGTGGTCAAAAAGTGAAGTTCATCCAATTTCCTTCAAATTAGCTAGGAACCACAGGACAACGCTTCCAGTGGCTCCTCCACCTGCAGATAGCGACCCCTAGTGGTCGAAAAGTGAAGTTCATCCAATTTGCTTCTAAATAGCTAGGAACCACAGGAGAACGCTCCCAGCCACCTCCACCCACACACAGTAGCGACCCCTAGTGGTCAAAGACAGAAGTTCTTCAAATTTGCTTCAAAACAGCTGAGAACAACACTGAACCTATCCTAACCATGGCGGAGCGTCCTGCTGATTCAGATGAAGTGGTTCAACCAACCAGCCTAGTTGAGACACCCCAACCAGACGGCCAAGGGGAAGCGCCGCAATCAGCCTCCCTTGACCTGTACACAGAAGCCGAAGCTCATGCCTCAGTAAGACCAAAGACGTCCCAGAGTCACTATGATCTGAGACAACAAAGAAAGCCAACTGAAGCCATGCATGCAAACCTGTTGGAGAAATGGCACACCGTGCACAAGCGCCATGAAAGAGGCTGGGAGAAATGGCACAAACTCTACCTAGAGCAAAAGGAGGATCTCTCCCCCGAATGTGCTCACGCACTGGAAGAAGATAAGGAGGACGCCTTCACACAATGGATGGACTCCGAACGGCAACTCAAGGACATTCAGCAGCAATTAAAAGACTCAGACGTCGACCGCGACATGCAAAGTCTTCGGTTACGGAACAAGGAACGCAAGAAGCTTCTAGAGAGCCCACAACGCCCTCCAGAATGCGAGCCTCGCCCGAGAGACAGACCGGTTGACAGGGCAGAGTCTGAAGTTGCCCGCCATTCACACGCACCGTCCCACCGGTCGCACGTGGCTCCATCCCACGCGTCTGGAAGGGCATCATCCTTTCGCCACATATCCAAGGCATACTCCAGCGTGTCTCAACAATCTCATGTCACAGGCGCCTCCCGCAATTCGAAAGCTTCTTCTCGTCACAGCCGAGCATCTCGAATTTCACAAACAGAGCAAGCAATCATTGATGCCAAAGCTGCCAAAGCACTCTTTCGTGTGACACAGGAGGAGCGGCAGAGAAAGAAGGAACTCATAGCTATAGCTCTCGAAGAGGCTGAAATAGAAGCCAAACTAGAAGCTGAGGCACTCAAAATGAAGAATGAGAAAGCTCAATTGGAAGCAAAATGAAAAGCTATAGCAGCTAAAATGAGGGCCAAAAGGAAAGACGCTCAAGATGAGCTTGAATTTGTTCAGAGCCAACGAGATATGGCAGACAAAATAGCTAGAGCGGAAGGCTTTCAGGAAATACTTCAGAACACCATCTTCCGGCCCAATAGGGAACACCTGGAAAATGAAGAATGACGTAGCCGAGTACAGGCCTACGTGGACAACCGACGTGCGTTTCAACGTGAACAGGTGAGACCACAGCCAGCCACAAGCCCCCCAAGACCAAGTAGACGAACAGAAGAATCTCAGCCGCCAGATGTGCCAGTCACCCATGGGGTTGATGTCACCACAACTAGGCCACGGGATCTTCCCACTGTTGCTGCCCCATCGAACCACACCCTTGATGGCAATCGGATGGGTCCACCAGCAACGGCTACGAATGCACAGCGGGGAGCGCAAGATGGCAACCGGATGGGTCCACCAACAGCGGCAACGGCTCCACAGCGGGCAGCGCAACGAGACATTCCTATCGTTGCTGCCCCATTGAACCCACCAAACCATACCTTTGATGGCAACCGGATGGGTCCACCAGCAACGGCAACGGCTATACAGCAGGGAGAGGAACATGATCTTTCCACCGTTGTTGCCCCACGGAACCCGCTGGAACTCGGATGGGCCATAGGAGGGACAGTTTGTGTTGACCAAATGCAAACCCCTACCCAGATGAGCATATCAAACACCTCCATTCTCTGTAATGGAATTGCACCTCACCAAAAACCACACCTAGAACACTGCGCGCTTGTGACAACCAAACCTGCTTTGGAAGCAACAGTGTTCCAGACCAGGCAGACTCACAACAACTTAGCCTTGTCCATAGAGGACAAACAAGACAAACAACGTCTGCAAGACCAGAAGTCATGGAGTTTACTTCCAAGATGTCCCAAGAGTATGCAAGTGCAGTGCACGTATGTTTCCAGCTCACCTGCCACAGTGCAGAAGAAAGAATTGTACGTTTCCTTAGATGTGTCAACAAAGGCAAATGCAGCCTTAAGATGCGTCACAGTCTACAGCGGGGAGAGCCACACTTACGTAATATTGTTTGCTACCATAAGATACATCAGAGTCTACAGCGGGGAGAGCTGCAGTTTCGGTGTCTTCTTTGGAAAAGCGAGACTAACTCTACACGAAGGCCACACCGTACCAAGGTTAGTACTTTGTGGTACCACGTTGGCTGTAAAGCTCACCAACTTGACAGCGAAGACATTGCGCCTTGAACTACAGTCTACCACCTTCTACGCAGACAGCAAGGAGATGTCAAGCTACATCTACAAACAAAGCAGACATTTCTACGTTTATGTAGGCAATAGAATGAAGAGTGTTGAAACATCCTTTCATGTGCCAACAGGCAACAACCAAGTGAAGTGGC